CTCTCTCTCTCTCTCTCTCTCTCTCTCTCTCTATATATATATATATATATATATATATATATATATATAAATATATATATATATATATATATATATATATAATAATATTATCAAATGTATATATAAGAATATTTTGTACGACTATATTTTAATAAAATAGCTGATAAACAGTAGGTATATAATTATTCAACAAGTACTACGTTATAATAGTAATAACATTGGCGGTTGATTGGAGGATGGATACTTGGATCTATTTGCTTGAATTACAAATCAATTTCAATCTTCTTTTGTTGGATTTTATGCTTTTGATACAATATATATAATGAATATACGAACGTAGAATCTCGCGTCGTTTCATCTTAAATATTTTTGGACTTGTAAAGTTCTTCAAATTTAATCTTTAAATCCCTAGTTTTTAAAATTTGTGAACGTTTATGCGCCCGTTAATAAAACCAATCTTTTACCGACTTTTTAACTTCTCTCCTCCAATATCCGCAATATAATGATAATAATATTAATATAGTGATCAATAAGAGAATAACTAAGAAATTAAAAGATTTTATTAGACGGAACGAAGAAATAAGAAAGTATAAGAACAAGAATGCTCTTTAGAATTTCAAATTCTCCATGTAAAATAGTTTTTGGTTATAAACTGTAAAATAGACAATAAACAAATTGTTCTAACGTCACCGTACCAAATTTCTGCCAACGTAATCGCTACAACTACCTCTACAAACCGTTATATAAATACGTCTAAGTATAATCTTTCAAATTAGGAAAATTACATCACGATATTTCCTCTATTCAAATTTAAATACAAAAAGGTTTTATCATTACGAAGGATTATTATGACTGTGTGTGATCCTTACGAATTATTTATAATTGCTACTTGGCAGAAATGTATTACTGTGTCTTTAGAGAAAATCTTCCTACTGTATACACGTGCGTAAAGATAATTCTTATATCCTGGGATTCTTACGCCCTCAGATCCTAGATTCTTGGACTTCAAGATTCTGAGATCCCTGGAGTTCGAGATCTCTGGATTCCTAGATTCTAGAATTCTTAGATCCCTGGAGCTTCACAATTTCTTGTTCCTATATATTCCGACCGAATTAAAATTTTGTCTTAGAATTTTTCTCATGCATTCTCCTCTTGAGATTTCACGACTGATTAAATTCTAGAATTAGTGGATCCATATCTCTCTCGCCCTTCTTTAATTCTACATAAATCTAAAAACGCTAAAACACTTCTCCACTTTGGATTCGCAGATCCAGGAATTCAGAAATGTAAGAGACCTTTCCGTGTAAATATTGAGCTTAACGTTCGCGGTAAATAATAAGTGTAGACAGTAGTAGTTCAGTTATCTTACAAAGCTAATCTCAAAGAACAGGGTCGTGACTATATAACGGTTCTGAACTGGTATCACTGAGCTTAGCGGACCGCGCGCCGCTAATGGGAGAAATCCCCGTCGCGCGCGCGCCTATCAAAATAGAAGACCGTCGTTCTATTTTCTATTCTTTCGGTCGTCGGTGAGACACGTCGTCGCCTCTCCGTAAAAAATTACATCTTGTAAATAAAAATAACGTTTCTTTCACTTTTGTACGTTGATGGTAGTGCAAGGCCGTGGCACATGTTTTATCCTACAGCAGGGGTTCCCAAACCAATGAATGAGAAGATCTCTCGTAATGAAGGGGAGAGAAAGGAGACAACTGACACTATACTTTGTTAAAATTCGGTACTATTACCGCTAAATTCAGAATAATTGAAATTTGCAAAGCATAATCTGCTTTAAATATTAAATATTTTTCTACAAAATAATGCTTGTATTAGAATATATTACCACAGAATTCACGTCCTCATATTACTCATTGATAAATGAATTCAAATAATGAATTTATTATTTGATTTTGTATAACAAGATTTCATGTTATAAAATATGCAATAGAAATGTAGTTCCTTTAATAAATAAAGAAAATGTAATTATGTTATTATACTTAATTATATAAAGATTAAACTGTGTAAGAAATAAACAACTTTAATACAAGTTATAGACAAAAAAGGTTAAAAAACAAATAGATAAAATTCTTCATCCTCCATATTTTTATCAATATGTAGAGGCATATAAAATATATGTAAAATTTTATATCGCGCGAGAGACGTCGTTATGTGAATTATATAAGTATTCTATCTATAGACCATCTGTTATGGACACTGGCAAGTTTGAGAACCCCTGTTACTACACAGATTATTATATCACGAGTCGTTAAATATATAAATAACTTCCACAAGCTTTCTCTCTCTCTCTCTCTCTCTCTCTCTCTCTCTCTCTCTCACT